GGGAGTGCGAGTCGACACATGAACGCACCAACGCACTCACTTACTCACTCGCTCACACGTAGGCCTGCAGGCGGGTGGGCGGGGTGCGCTGCCCCTTGCGCAGCACGAGGGAGTGCGAGTCAATGGCTGCCCCAAAGTGAGGCGCGGAGGGTGCATGGGAGAGGTGAGGACCCACCACGGCACAGGAGCTGATTGGGAGTGGGAATGGGTGGGGAGGATGGGATGGGGGGAGGGGCGAGGGATGGTGCAGAGGGGTGGAGAGGTGAGGCACGGAGGGCGCATGGGAGAGGTGAGGACCCACCACTGCACAGGAGCTGAAAGAATTGGGGAGATGTTTACAGGTTGGGGAGGGAGGGAGGGATACGATGGTGGGTGATGCTGGTCGTGGAAGGGGCTTGGGCGACAAGAGGAGAGAAGAGGAGAGGAGAGGAGAGGAGAGGAGAGGAGAGGAGAGGAGAGGAGAGGAGAGGAGGCGCAGGGTGGGTGATGAAGCGCAGGAGGAGAGGAGAGGAGAGGAGGAGAGGAAGAGCGGAGAGGAGGAAGGGAGAAGGAAGGGAAAGGCGGGAGAAGGAGCATGCACGCAGTCAACGACGCAGCAGCTGTCAATCGGCCATAATGAATCGCCTTTGTAATCCTCCTGAAGCAGCTACAATGCGTTGTATCTCGGAAACAAACGTCAGAGAAAGTTGCAAAACAAACAGACGACGAAAGTTAGGATGATGGCATATATATACACACACAAGGGAAGGAACACCGCTGCTGTTGCTGCTCTGACCCCCAACACCAGCACCACCACCACCGCTCTTGCTCCCCGCCCTGCCCCTCTCCCCTCCTCTTCCCTCCCTCACTCGCCTCCCCCGCACAGCCATGAGTGCCCCCACTGCTGCCAACCCATCCACTCCCGGCCACTCCCCCACCATCACCCCCTCACAATCCCTCACTCGCCCTCCCTCTTTCCCTCCCCCAACCCCTCCTCTCCTTCCTCCTCGCTTCCTCCTCCTTTCCTGCAACCCCCTACTGTTGCTGATCCCACCGTTCTTCCCTCTGCCACCCGCTCTCCTTCTCCCTCCTCTCACAGCACGCTCCTTACCCACTCTCTCCCCGGCTCTTCTCACTCCCCCACCCGCCGCCTCACCCAAAACTCCCCTGTATCCTCTCCTCTCTCCACCCCTCTTGTCCCCGTCCCTACCCCTCCTCGCCTCTCCATCCTCCCCCGCTCCTCCTCGCTCCAGTCTACAGCCAACCCCAGCATCGACCCCTCCTCCTCTATCCCTCTGTCAATCGCCACTCCATGACTTCTGTTCCCGCTGCCGCCACCAACGCCACCACCACCACTATCACTGCTGCTGCTGCTCCCCGCGTGCTTGGTAGTAGAATCCACATGGGATGTGAAGCCTGGGAGCCTGTTGCTTGCTGTGACTGTACCTACGGGGTGGCAAAGAGAGATCAGGGCATCAGGCAGAAGCAGGGATGCAAGAAGAGGTGAAGAGTTGCAAGCTCTGACTGTGTATGGACATGCATGGTAATGCTCCTTGCCCTGCGTGCCTCACCTATTTCTCTCGCCCCTCTCGCTCCTCCCAGTCAACTTCTCGTTCCTTCCAGCGACCACCTCTCGTCCTGAACCAACCCAGAAATTCAACTCACTCCGTAACTTCCTTTAAGCACCTGCGCTTCCACCCTGGCCTCCGTGCACCAGGCATGAGCTGTACAGCCGATGCTCACGCCTACCATACCCCCTCTCTCTCCTCCACCTGCACGCCTCCCACTCGTGCTGCTCTGCCCGCCACTGTAGACGACCAGTGAGACGGCACAATAATTGAGGCGCCTTTAACTCACCTTCACTCCGCCCACTTGCTCTCTGCCTGCCATGTGAGAGAGGACCAGTGAGGTAGCACACAGCACTCTCGCCACGACCACAGCACCCACCACCGCAGCACCTGCTAGCACCACCGCCAGCGCCACCAGTGCCACTATCAGCAGCACTGCCTCATTTTCTCTCACCTGCACTTTGACCACTCGTGCCACTCAGGCTGTCGCGGTGGAGAATTAACGAGGCGGCATGACGCACACCCATGGCTGCAGCACCTGCTAGCACTACCAGTAGCACCATTGCCGCCAGCACAACCACCCACCGCCGCACGCGCCTTCTCCTTCCTTCCACCACCACCCCCCTCCCTGCCCTACCAAAGCCACTGCTGCTGCTTCCAAGTGACGCCCCACCCAACCCAAAATGAAGCCCAAAACTGCTGCTGCTGCTGCTGCCACGCGCTTGCCCATGGTGGGAGGAGGGGAGAGAGGAGGAAGGGAGAGGGGAGGAGGCGGAGAGCCAGCGCCATCGGTGGCGGAGGTACCGCCACACACGCCACTCCCCTGCCTTGTTGCCCTTGCTGCCACTGGTGGTACCGCTGGTGCTGCTGGTGCTGCGTGAGGCGGCAAAGGAGGGGTAGGAGCAGGAGGGGGAGGAGGCGAGAGGCGTGGAGACAGCAGCAGCGGCAGGGAGGAGGGAGAAGCCTTGCAGTGACTGGCCGAGGACCAGCGAGGAGTGCGCTGGTTGCTGGGAGGGGAGATGGGGGGAAGAGGGAAGAGTGGCAGGGAGGAAAGGGAGAGGATGGTGACAGCAGCAGCGGCAGGGAGGGGGGAGAAGCCTTGCAGTGACTGGCCGAGGACCAGCGAGGAGTGCGCTGGTTGCTGGGAGGGGAGATGGGGGGAAGAGGGAAGAGTGGCAGGGAGGAAAGGGAGAGGATGGTGACAGCAGCAGCGGCAGGGAGGGGGGAGAGGCCTTGCAGTGACTGACCAGACCAGAGCAGTATGCGTTGGTTGCTGGGGGCGCAGCGCAATCGAGAGAAAGGATTGGCGACAGGGAGGAGAGGGGGGAGGGGGGGATCACGAAGGTGAGATCGGTGGGTTGTGGAGAGCAACCATGAAGATGCGAGTGCGAGAGGGGACCGTGCTGGCAGGAGGGTAGAGAGAGACACTTTGGGAGCTATGCAAAAGGGCGTGGTGTCAGCCAGAAAATTATGTGTTAATAGCCCGTGAAATGCCGTGAACCAGCAGTGCTATCATTGCGAGCTGGGTGGGGAAGGAGGAGGGCGGTTCTTCTCACCGAGGCTCGCCTCATGGCGAATTCGCGAACTCAATGAAGTGGCGATGACGAGGCAGGGCAGCAACGTAGGACTGCAGCACTGTAGCAGAACAGCAGGGCTGCAAAGGTGGACCCAAACGGCTCCGCGCAACTCTTTCCGCACTCCCCAGGCCTGCCGCGCTCACTACTCACGCTTGCCCGCGCGCACTTGCGCCTGCCCGCGCTCACTTGCGCCTGCGCGCGCTCACTTGCGCATGAACACCTTCCCCCCGACGATCTTGTGCGCGGGCTTTCCCTTGATCATGCGCATCCGCGCAAACTCCGACCCGCACGCGGGGCACTTCATGTCCCCCGCCGTGAAATCCTCCGCAATGCGCTCTACGAAACACTTAACTAATGCCCCGTTGCCGCCCTTGCGGTACCAGTATAGCTGCTGCTGGCACTTAGCGCAGAAGATCTTCACGGTCTTGGTCGGCCCGCTCGCGGGGGGAGGTTTCGATTCGTCCTCGTTAGAATCTTCCTCGCTAGCGCGATGGAAGGATTTTGCCGCACTTGCCGTTACGCCCGCTTCGTTTAGACGACGAGTCGCGATCAATTCAGCGCGCGAATGCGTGAACAGAGTAAGATTACTGAAACTGGACCTGGACGAACGGAGGCAATTAAGACTACTATGTGCACTAAGTAGCAAAGTACGCGTGCCAGGAGTGACACAGTCGATCAAATCGCTCGCGATGGAAGCTACAGGAAAGGAAGAAATCAGACGACGCGCAGAAGGAAATGCTGGCAGTGGCACGAACACGCTGGAGCGGGGGACGCGCGAAGCCAGAGGCGCGGCGCGAGCGATCATTTCGCGGAGGGATACAGTGCGGTGGCGTGCGGTGCTACGGCATTGTTGATCAAGCAGGCAGGCGCAACAATTTACTACTTGGGGATTTGGTTCCAGTCCAGTGCTGCTATCTGCAACATCTCTTGTGGTGGGGACTCGAGATACGGGAGCATAGGAGAGGCGCATTGTGACTTTCCGAGGGATGGACCAGCATGCCAGCGAGAAATTCGAGCCGAGTTGATCTGGTAACCTGCGAGCCTCGTCGCAGTGCCACTGGGCTAGGGTTGAGGGTAATACGCTGGAGATCTGAGCACGGAAGTGGACAGGGCGATAGAGCGAAGTCACTTCTGTTTTCGTTCGACCGGAAACACCCTATTGTTACCCGAAGACAACCGCGTCACGACACTTGTAACGTAGCGACAGCTTTCACGAGCCTACCACAACTATTTTCGCAGCTTTTGTTGTCCAACCCAACAGGCAACATCCAATCTCCGCGATTTCTCTCACACCACACCATGCCGCAGACCTAAAATAGCCTTAGGTACCAGGGCTCGTCGCTCTACATCTCTCAGTGCTGCTTTCATTGCGGTCGGGCCGCGATTCGCGGTTCGAAGCTGCAGGACTATCCCAAGACGTGCAAAATGCGAAATGCGCTGTAACCCTTACTATCGTGCTCCTCTCCACCCCATTCAGTCGCCATTCTCTCTCGCAACAATCAGTCGCTCGCGACATTTCCTCAGGAGTTTCATTGCCACATCCATCCCTCCCACCGCGCGTTCGTAAAACCCTCCTTCCGCTGGTCTCGTAGCCTCGTCATTTCAACCGTCTTACAAGTTACGTCTCGTCAACTTCCGTGTATCAGCACGCGCAATGGCTGGATCCCCAGTTTCCTCCTCTTCTTCCTCCTCCTCCTCCTCTCCCTCCTTCCTCTCCTCCCGCCTCCTAGGCACGATCATCCGCGTTACATGCCTCCTCGCTTGCCTCGCCATCATTGCCTTCCTCAGCGTGAGCTACTGGGCCCTGAAGGCCACTAATCTCACGCCACGTGTCGAGGAGTTTAGGGACCACTGGGACTCGTGCGTGAATCAGCCCATGGGCCACTGGGTCAAGCTCGCGGTGCCGTCGTCGCATCGCATGCCGTGCTCGCACATAGTTAAAGCGGCGATTAAGAGAGGGGAGGCCGGGGTGGAGCGAGGCCGGGTGCTGCATCGGCTGCAGCTCAAGGAGCATCCGGGAAGGGACGGCTGCGCGGTAAAATACGACGCTGACGTGGACCCCTGGGATATGCATCCTGTGCCACGTGGCAAATTCTCCTACTCCTCCTGCTGCGTGGAGTGGATCATCTACTCTTCTGACTGCGGACTCAGCATGGTTCGAATGGCGGATTTCGCGCACATGGCGGCCATTCCGTTCGCCGTGGTGGGGGTGGGTGTGCCCTGGAGAGGCCAGGGCGGCCGCATGCGGACTATCCGCGACTACCTCCGCTCGCTGCCGCCCGACCGCATTGTCATTTCCACCGACGCCGACGACGCCTTCCTCATGCCAGGCCCCCACTGCCGCCCGGAGAATCTCGTAGAGGCGTTCCTCTCCCTCAATGCGCCCGTGGCATTCGGAGGGGAGATCTTCTGCTACCCGGACTGGCGGAAAATCGAGGTTTTTTACCCTCGGAAAATCAACGAGACGAAGAACTGGTTTCTGAACTCCGGAGCCTACGTGGGATACGCGTGGGCCCTGGCTAAGATCATAGACGCGACATACGTGGGAGACTGCATGCAAGACCAGCGTGCATACACCCTCGGGCTTATCGGCCAGCAGTACCTCTTCAGGCACCTCCCCCGCGTGCCCTACCCTGAACCCAGCGACTTCGAATCCGCCCTCAACAGCATGGGTAATGTCACTGCGGCTGTGGCCGCCCAGGAAAAATTTGCCGACTCACCGTTCCGCAAGCCGTGGCGCAACCCGCGCCCCGTGCGGTACAACACGACCATGTCGCCGTTCCACCGGCTGCCGCCCGCGTCAGAAGAGAAGGTGATCAGCGAGGCGATGGAGGCGGGGCAGAAGGATGCTCCGTCTGTCATGGCTGCTCCGTTCATGAAGCTGGATCATTACAACACGCTCTTCACGCACCTGGGGGGGTATCCTTGGGAGGAGTTTGAAGTGGTGGGGAAGGGTGGAGAGGCGATGGTGCGCGCGAAGAGCACAGGCGGCATGGCATGTATTTTGCATCAGCAGGGAGACAAGATGCAGAATCTGTCCATGTACTATGTGTTTGAGCAGGCCAGGTTGGATGATGTGCAGGCTGCACGGGGATATGTGTAGAGGAGATGGTGGCTGGTATTGATCGGATAGTGTCTTAGCGCGGTGAGGTGGGGTTTCGTGGTGCATGGTCTGTATTCCACATATGGATTTGGTATGTCATACAAGGTTCATCGTTCATGGTTCGGTTTGTGCATGTTTCAAAATTTAATTGGGCCAGGCAATGTCAGTTCAGGAAGTATGGGGAACCTGAGTTTATTGTTGCAGTTAAGTGAACAGCCAATACGGTACTAGACATCGTGAAGCTGGCACAGGAAATAACATTCAGTTTGGATGGTCAGGAAATAAGTTTTGGGAATACAATATACATGTAAGGTTCTTTTCTTTTCTGTGTGCGTGTAGCCGAGACAGCGGTTTGGTAGAACTGACACAAGCGTGTGCGCTGTGAGCGAAACCACGTGTTCGGCTTTTCGCGTTCACCCGCCGCACCCCCATCGTTTTGTGGTCAGGCCTGCGGCTTCAGCGGCCCATCCTCCTCACCCGCCCACAAAACCACATGATGCCCGTTTGAGCCACTCCCGGTTGCCCTGTTAAGGGGGCTTATAATATGTAACCCAAAGTTCGCCTAAATTTCGTCGATTCGCAGCTAGCAAAAAAGGATTCGTCAGGTGCTTATAAAACCTTTGTAACCTATCCGTTGACATTTTGACTTCAGTCTCTTCAGTGTGAAATCGGTCTTTTCCTTACTATTGGTTCATAACCACTGCAGCTTGCGCGACGTGCTTGTAACGGGCGTGCAACTGGCTGGGGAAAAAACCTCGGGTGCAGGGTTTCCATCCGGTGCAGGGCAAATTCGCGTGCACGGGTTGGGCATCATGTCTATTTGTGCCCAGATCATCCCATCCCGCGGATCACTCGTCCAATCAGTTTCTGAAGCCCGCATGACGGTCAGCGGAATATTCGTTTCTGCTCAATACAGTCGCATCCAGGCAAGCACAGTCTCACACTCTGACATCCATACAAAAAGTTGTCTGGCGCGCACTCAATGGAGCAGCGCAGCAGGAATGCACGGAAGTGAAGTGAAATCAAACCATACCAGACCGTTCCAAAACGTGAAAGTAACCTTCCTAAATCCCGAATGTCTTACCGCATCGCATTGCACCGCAAAGAAGCAAACAGTTTCATCACTTCCTGATGAACGCGACATTCACTGGTGCAAAAGAGTTGGTTATCAAAATCCCTCCTCCCTGCTCGTACCAACCCCAGTGCACCACATCCCCTTGCGAACTTGCGATGCGACCTGATTCATTGCCCCTTCTTCATCCATGACCGCCCCAAGCCGGTCCTTGTCTCTACAGCAGCACGTCTCTGCTGCTCCATCACCACCGTCTTTCCGCATTGCCCCTCGCAATGCGCGCACTCTCACTACTCAATATCGCTCCCGCTCACCGCCCGTCTCGACGCATCCGGGTCCGCCGCGGCATGACCAACTCAGTTGGCTTACCCTGTAGTATACGTGATCCTGGCCTCGCCCAGCCGCGTTTCTCTTGCGAGTCCATGCGAAAACACTCGCGCCTGCCTGCCTGAAGACTCCGGGCGGCGGTCCTTGTTTACCGTCGCCGTGGCCGTCGTCGTCGCCGTCGCCGTCGCGCGCGGCGTGCATGGGCGCGTGCTTCTCCAGCGAGGCTTTGCTGCTCGCCGATAGGAGCAGCACGCCGTCCCGGGGGGGTAAGGCAGTACGAGATTTACGGGGGGGTCCATCCGACAAGTTACGGGGCCCGAGAGGAATGGGCAAATAACTACGTCAATTCAAAATCTCCCAAGCAGCGCCAGATTTACATTCACTTCTGATGCTCATACGTCGCTGACCAATCAGCCCTTCTCCGGACCTCGCGCTTCACTCCACCCGTACCTTTTCCCCTTCCCCTACCGAGGCGCGTCTTCCTGCGCCCCTCCCCTTCTCCCCCCTTCCCCGCCCCCCGGTCGTCCTGCGCAGCGCGCAAGGGCGCTCCCCGCGCGCCCGAGAACCTTTTGGGGCAGCCGTTTCGGGCAGTGGAGGAGGATTATGAGATAGGTGAGGGGAGGAATGGGAGATGGAATGGGAGAAGGTGAGGGGAGGAATGGGAGATGAATGAGGGGAGGAATGGAAGATGGGTGAGGGGATGAATGTGAGAAAGGTGAGGGGAGAACGGAGATGGGTGAGGGGAGGAATGGGGAAAGGGCGGTGCGGAGGCAAGCTTGAAGGGATGTGTGTGGCCTTCCAGCAGAGTGGGCAGGGTATGGGAGCACACATCACATCACATCACATCACATCGCATCGCATCGCATCACATCACATCACATCGCATCACATCACATCACATCGCATCACATGACATCACATCACATCACATCGCATCGCATCGCATCGCATCGCATCACATCACATCACATCGCATTGCATCGCATCGCATCGCATCGCATCACATCACATCACACCACATCACACCACATCACATCACATCACATCGCATCACACCGCGTCACATCGCATCACATGACGCCACTGCCCTTTTGACGCATGTGTGCGTGCATGTGTACATGCCTGCGGCGTATGTGCATATGTGCGTGTTTGCATGTGTGCGTGCATCAACCACGCTCCACCCCACCTCTTTCCCATACAGGCAGGGAGCTGGGGCGGGGCATGTGGGTAGCTGGGGCTGGGGCTGGGGCGGGGCAGGGAGCTGGGGCGGGGCTGTACTGCATCACGTACATTGCAAGGCACCGCTGGGCATCTCACTTCTTGGGCATGTGTGCCTGTGTGCATGCATCCACCGCACTCCATCCCACCCCACCTCGCTCCCATACAGGCAGGGAGCTGGGGGGGGGCTGTATGGCATCACGTACATGGCAAGGCACGATTAGGCATCCACTGCGAGTGACTCAACGTTTGGCATGTGTGCATACATCCATCCACCGCACTCCACCCCACCCCACCTGTCTCCCTTACAGGCAAGGAGCTGGGGCGGGGCCTGTATGGCATCACGTACATGGCAAGGCACCGCCAGACTCAGCAGCACTTTGCCTGCAAGACCATCACCAAGGTGAGGCCGCCTCCTGCCCACACCTTTCCACCCCAACCCACCGTTTCCAACCAGACCCAACTCCCCTTCAACACCACCTCTTCCCCACGTTGTGTGCCTACGTGGCACGATGCACCACCACTCTCCACCCCATTCCACCACTCTCCACCCCATTCCACCACTCTCCACCTGCATTCCTCCCACCAGCGCCACCTGTCCGCCACGCCATGTGCCAATCCAACATGGCACGAGAGGCCGCCATTCTCGCCCGCCTGTCCACCACATTCCACCGTTCCCCACCTGCCCACCTCCCACCAGCGCCACCTGTCCCCCACGTCATGTGCCAACGTGGCACGGGAGGCGGCCATTCTCGCCCACCTCTCCACCGGCCATGCGGGCATTGCAACGCTCATTGACCAATACGAGGACGCCACGTGTGTGCACTTCATTCTGCAGCTCTGCACAGGTGTGCAGGAGGGGTGGCATGTTGGATGGGTGGGGTGGTGTGATGGGATGGTGTGTTCGATTGTGTTCAGCACCACAGGTGGAGTGGAAAAGGGGGGAATGTGGCGTATCACAGATGCTCTTATCATGGGCATGAGACAAGGCAGGCTTACCAGCCCAGGCAGACCATTCCTTCATGGAACGTCTCCCTTTCCCCTCCCCTTCCCCTCCCCTTCCCCTCCCCTTCCCCTCCCCTTCCCCCTCCCACTCCCTCTCCCCCTCCCCCTCAAGTCGGGAAGGAGGGAAGGAGGAGAGGAGGTAGAGTGGAAGCTATATTCGTCCTCCCTGCATCTCTTCCTGCCAGCCATGCGGTTCGGCATATGACAGGGGAAAGGCAAGTGTGGGAGCACCTGACAGGTGGCAAGGAATCCATCTCCGCTGCCTCTCCTGCCTTTCCTGCCTCCCTCCCCTTTTTCACAGGTGGCATGTTGTACGATGGCATCAAGGCGGAGGGCAGCTACAGTGAGCAGCGCGCGGCCGGCATGGTGCGGCAGATAGTGCAGGCGGTGCAGTACATGCATGAGCGGGGAGTGGTGCATCGGGATCTCAAGCTAAAGAACTTTCTGCTGCTGCACTCAGGGGAGGACGCCCCTCTGATGGCCATCGACTTTGGCCTGTCCACTTTCTTTCAACCAGGTATGTACATGTTGAGCCTCAATATGCCTTCTGAAGTGGTGCATCGGGATCTCAAGCTCGAGAACTTCCCACCGCTCATGGCCATCGATTTCGAGCTTTCAACATTCTTTGAGCAAGGTGTGTACGTGTCGGTCCTCAGCATGTCTTCTGAAGGGCAGGGTGGGGTGGGGTGGGGTGCATCAGGATCTCAAGCTCGAGAACTCCCTGCTGCTGCACCCGGGGGACGACGCACCGCTCATGGCTATAGCCATTGGGCTCTCCACGTTCTTCAGGCCAGGTGCGTGTGTTTCGTTGGCAGGTGCAGTGAAACCACATGGGAGGGAGTGCAGTGCAGTGCAGTGCGGTGCAGTGCAGTGCAGTGCGGTGCAGTGCGGTGCAGTGCTGCCAGGCGAGTGTGCCAGTATGTGCCAGTGCTTTAGTGCGTGCTGAAGCTTAAGTGCATGTGCGTGTCCCGGTATGCAACTTCAAGTAAAATCTGGACTCTCCACTTTCCACTCCCCAACGTGACACATCCCACAATAACACATCCCTTTAGGCCTACTCTTTCTCTGCCTTGTCTCTTCCTCCTCACCCGCATAGCACTTCAAGGAGGTCGTGGGCAGTGCGTCCTCCCCACCGTGACACATCCCTTTCAATTCCCTTATGCGTACTCTAACTCCTCAGCTCTTCCCACCACCTATTTCTTCCCCATCACTGCATACGTGTGGAGTGTTGAAGTCATCACTCCCTCCTCCCTCACCTCCATTACTCTCACTCCTGACTCCGTGTCTCTCTCTCCCCAGGCCAGCGCTTCAAGGACGTGGTGGGCAGTGCGTACTATGTGGCGCCAGAGGTGCTGAGAAGAGACTACGGCAGCGAGTGTGATAAAGTAGAGCATTGGAGTGATAACCTCCTCCCTCCTCTTCTTCCAATCGCACTCCTCACTCCACGTCACTCCCAGGGCAGCGCTTCAAGGAGGTGGTGGGCAGTGCGTACTATGTGGCGCCAGAGGTGTTGAGAAGAGACTATGGCAGCGAGTGTGACGTGTGGAGCGTTGGAGTCATCACATACATGCTGCTGTGCGGCACCCCGCCCTTCTGGGATGGTACGCTGGGATCTGGTTGTGTGTTGTATGGTGGAATGAGGTGATATGGAGTGCTGGGAATGCATGGTGGGAGTGCGATGTGTGGAGCGTTGGGGTGATCACCTACATGCTGCTGTGTGTGTGGCACTCCGCCAGTCTGGGATGGTATGTTAAGGTGTGGTACAGTGTAGTGAGGTGATATGGCATAGCGCAGGGTGTGATGCAGTGGAATGCGGTGCTTTCTTGTAGTGCATGGTGCGGTGTGTGGCGAGGCAGTTATGGCAGCAAGTGTGACGTGTGGTGAAGCGCTGGCATAATCACCTACATGCTGCTGTACGGCACCGACCCCTTCTGGGATGGTGGGTTTTGTTGAGGTGGGGCGGTATAATGGAATACGGTCATAAAGTATGTTGGCAAAGATGGTAGATTCCTGTGTCTCAAAATTTCTCTGGGACCTGCGTTATCTCAAGAACATTAAAGGTCTTGGGTTCGATTCTCAGCGTCCACCATCACGTGTGCATGTGAACTACCACGTATGAGAGATGTGTGAGTTGACTCCACCCGCCACGTACTACATCATACCATGGCCTTCCAACTCTATGTTCTGGGCCGACTCTAAAATCTCCCACTTGACGCGTACCATCCCATGGCCTTCACATCTTTGGCTCCTGCGCTTTTCCACCATCGAGTCGAGTGCCTGAAACATCAAAGCGCTTTGGCATTGAAAGGCACTGCACTGTACCTCAGTTGCAGCTGCACGACCCCTTCTTTCGTGGTCCCCTTCTCCTGGTTCCTCCCCTCCCCTCCCCTCCTTCCTGACGCACCCTCACTTCCAATCACCCACATCAGTATCGGAGGAAGGGATATGTGAGGCGGTGCTAAAGGGAGAGTACGAGATGGAGCAGTCCACCTGGCCGGGCGGCCATCGCCCAGCAAACCATGCACCTTCTTTCACCCCTTCTTCCACTCCCCCCCCCCCCCCCTCCCCCACTCATCCCCCAAAAGCATCGGAGGAGGGTATGTGTTAGATGGTATTGAAGGGCCGGTATGAGCTGAGCATTGCTCCTGGCCGACCGGCCCTCGACCAGCAAACCAAGCACCTTCGGCCCCCCTGCACCCCTTCTTTTCCCCCCTCCTTCCCTCACTCCCCCACCAGTGTCAGAGGAGGGGATATGTGAGGCGGTGCTAAAGGGAGAGTATGAGATGAGCAGCCTCCCCTGGCGAGCCATCTCCCAGCAGGCAAAGGACCTTTGCCCCTTCACCCCCGTCCTTCCCTCATTCTCCCACCAGTATCGGAGGAGGGGATATGTGAGGCGGTGCTAAAGGGAGAGTATGAGATGAGCAGTGCCCCCTGGCCGGCCATCTCCCAGCAGGGGTAGCACCTTCCCCACTCCTTCCTTAAAACCCCCCATCCTCCATTCACCAGTGTCAGAGGAGGGGATATGTGAGGCGGTGCTGAAGGGAGAGTACGAGATGAGCAGTGCCCCCTGGCCGGCCGTCTCCCAGCAGGCCAGGCACCTGGTGGGGCGCATGCTGGAGAGCGATGCTGCCAAGAGAATTACCACCCAGGAGATCCTTGGTAGGTGTGCATTGGGAGTGACTCGGGTGTGTTTTGGGGTGTTATGCAATACTAGCTGGGGGCATGGACAGCCCGGCTCGGCCGGCCATCTCCCAGCAGGCGAGGCACCTGGTGGGGCGCATGGTGGAGAGGGATGCAGCCCGGCGAATCACCACCCAGGAGATCCTTGGTAGGTGTGTGGGTGTGTCTTGGTAGATGCAGGCACGGCTCACTAGCTGGGGGCAATGAGCCGTGCCTGCCTGCCCTGCCCGGCTGTCTCCCAGCAGGCGATGCACCTAATGGGGCGCATGTTGCACAGCGATGCACCTAATGGGGCGCATGTTGCACAGCGATGCACCTAATGGGGCGCATGTTGCACAGCGATGCACCTAATGGGGCGCATGTTGCACAGCGATGCACCTAATGGGGCGCATGTTGCACAGCGATGCACCTAATGGGGCGCATGTTGCACAGCGATGCACCTAATGGGGCGCATGTTGCACAGCGATGCACCTAATGGGGCGCATGTTGCACAGCGATGCACCTAATGGGGCGCATGTTGCACAGCGATGCACCTAATGGGGCGCATGTTGCACAGCGATGCACCTAATGGGGCGCATGTTGCACAGCGATGCACCTAATGGGGCGCATGTTGCACAGCGATGCACCTAATGGGGCGCATGTTGCACAGCGATGCACCTAATGGGGCGCATGTTGCACAGCGATGCACCTAATGGGGCGCATGTTGCACAGCGATGCACCTAATGGGGCGCATGTTGCACAGCGATGCAGCCCGGCGAATCACCACACAGGAAATTTGAGGTGGGTGTGTCTTGGAGGGGGTGGGGTGGAAGAGGAAGGGGGAGGAAGGCGGGGAAGGTCGAAAGGGGGCTTGTACATAGAACGTGGCGTATGGGTGTGCTTGGAGGGGTGCTGAATGGCTGTCTTTCAATGGAACTCTTGACAACCTTGCTTAGGTGGACTTTCTCCCACGCATTCTCATGTATGCATGCACACCCATACATCGAGATTCATGTCTTGAGTAGCATCAAACCTTTAAAATACACTTAAGCAAAAAGATCAAGACTTTCTCTCACGCATCCTCATGTATGCATGTACATTGCACACCCATACCAACACACTCGCTCTGACTGACACGTTCAGACACCCTCACACTCCATTCACTCTCTCTGTCCACACACACAGAGCACGAGTGCAAGCGGGGCCAGGCCTTTTTGTAGGCGCCTCAAAATCTGCACCTCACACTCATTCACTCACTCTGTCCCGCACACACAGAGCACGAGTGGGTGCGGGAGGGAGGAGCGCCAACGTGCCCACTGTCTCTTCCCGTCATGAAGCGCGTGCGCCAGTTCTGCCAAATGAACCACCTCAAGCGACGAGCCCTCGCCGTAAGCGCCTTGTGAACCTGCAACTCTTGACATTGCAACCCTTCACATTGCAACCCTTAACACTCCAACATTAATCACCTGCAATTCTTAACATTTTTCTTCCCTTCCCTCTCTTCCCTACACCTTCCCCTCCCCCTTCCCCTCCACCTCCCCCAATCCCGACCAGGTGGTGGCGGGGTGCTGTTGGACGAGGAGGAGATGGCAGTGATTCGAACACGCTTTGACCATCTCGACCTCGACAGGGACGGCTGCATCTCCGTGTCGGACCTCGTTGCCGGCTTCCAGTCGCTGCACATCCCACTCTCAGAGGACGAGGCCCGAGAGATCATCCAGGCGGTGAGCCAAGCTTTCTCCTAGTGCGTATCTTGACAGGGAAGGTTGTATTTCGATGTCTGGTCTGGTGGTCGGGTTTCAGTCGCTGCACATCCCGCTTTCAGTGGAGGAGGCCCGAAAGATCACCCAAGCTTTGAGTGAAGGCGAGTCAAGCTATCCTCCTGTTTTTGTTGCGCCAAGTTATCCCCCACTCATGATGAGCTAAGCCAACCCCACTCAGGCTGAGCCAACATCACTTTCATCACCTTGACCCAATTACAGACTTGTTCCCATGCAATGGCGGCCCTATCTAGGTCCTTGCAATGATTGACACAACGACTCACATACAGCAGGCTTTCAGCAGATGCGCCACCCCCCCTTTCTCCCCTCTCCCCAACCTTTCTCCAACAACGAGACATAGTCAAAGTGGTGAGACGAACTCGCTTTGATTGACCAAACTCCCCCATCTGCCTCTCTCTTCTCCCCGGCCGCTCTGAGGCCAGGCGGACAGGAAGGGGTCAGGCACATTGGGCCTGTCAGAGTACGCATTGGCCATCATGGTGAAGCGCAAAGACAGTGAAGAGCAAAGACAGTGCGCATACAGATAGGGTGAATGCTAGTGCAACTGCTGATTCAACCTGCCTCTCTCTTGCACCTCACCCCCTCGGTCGGGAGGCCAGGCGGACAGCAAGGGGTCGGGCACATTGGACCTGTCAGAGTACGCATCTGCCATCATGGTGAAGCGCATGGATGCTGCGTGCATAGACAAGGCATTCAAGCACTTTGACAAGTGAGTTTTGAGACGCCTCGAAAGTCAGAGCGTACAGCAGCCACTGTGGTGAAGTGCACGGATGGTGGTGCGTGCATAGAGTGGGTGTTCCTGCACTTCGATGGGTGGGTCACTGCTGTCGCGAGGCTGACTTTGTTGCTCATCCATTAGGTTAGAAAGAATGCAATCCTGTGCAGTCAGGCAGAAGACATGTTTTTGTTAAGCACACATGCCATCACATAGTTTGATAGAAGACGGTCAAGATTGTGATGTGGGCTACGAGCTTTGTCCCGGTTGCATGGACCACTTCTTTCAAGCAATTGCTGCTAATGCATGTGCTCGTTGCCCTCTGTGTGTTCCAGGGAGGGGCGTGGCTATATCACAATGGCTGATTTGAAGGCCACGCTTGCAGCAGGCGAGAGTGATGAGACAGTGGAGTGCCTCATCAAGGAGATTGGCAACAAGCATGTGAGAAAAGCACCCTGCTCTATCTGGCTTTTTTCCCCAAGCTTCCACGGCCAGTTACTACAACCTACAAGTCACACCTTCGCTTGCTCCCCTTTCTTCTTCCCGTCTGCCCCTCACTTACAGAGTGGGCACATTGACCGGGAGGAGTTCAGTCGGATGATGCGTGAGGGTATGGAGGATGGCAATGCATGGAGAGGTTCAGGGCTATTGAGCAACCTTTCAGAGATCAGAATACAGGAGCTGCACCATACTGGGAAATTTTGAGCCTCCATTTGATTGTTTGTAAAGAATAGTGCACTACTGTACAATAGCCTGCCTATGCTTGACAATGGAGTAGCAGCAATCCACGGAATGTGCAGTAATGTGAAATCAAACCTTACCAAAACGTTCCAAAACGTGAAAGTAACATTCTGAAACCCTGAATGTGTTACCGCATCGCACTGCATATCGTCGAAGCGAACAGTTACAACACTTCGTGATGAACAGACTCGCTCAAAAGAAGAGAAGAGTTGGAAGGAATGATCAAAATCCCTCCACACGCCCTCGTTCATGCCAACCCCGAAACACCACATCCCCTTGCGAACTTGCGACGCGACCTGGTTCATTGCCCCTTCTACTCAATCCATGTCCGCCCCAACTCAAGCCCGTACGTCTGTCTGCAGCAGCAGCGCGTCTCTGCTGCTCGATCACCACCGTCGCTCTGCGTTGCCCTCGCAATGCGCGCACTGCCACTACTCTGTCGCTCCCGCCCAGCACCTCTCTCGATGCATCCCGGTCCACGCATCTGACTGCCGCGAGTCCGCCGCGAGCGCGATCAGTTCAGTTTTCTTATCACTTGTACGTGATCCTGGCCTCGCCCAGCCGCTTTCTCCTGCGATTCCATGCGAAGCACTCGCGCCTGCCGGCCTGAAGTATCCAAAGCTGTTTCAACGGCATGTGCAGGAGGCAGTCCGTGTTCGCCGTCTCCGTCCGCCGTCGCCGTCGCGGGCGGCGCGCGGCGTCATGGGCGCGTGTTTTCTCCAGCGAGCTTTGCTGCGCGCAGATAGGAACAGCGCGGCGTCCCGGGGGGGTAAGGCGATCCGAGCGTCAAGTACGACTGACTCCCAACAACCGAGATAACTTCTGCGTTGATTCAAAATCACCTGTCCCCCACGTCATTTGCCAACGGTGGCACGGGAGGGCCACCATTCGTGCTCGTCTCTCCACGGGCCATGCGGGCATTGCGACGCTCATTCGACCAATACGAGGACGCCATGTGTGTGCACTTCATTCTGCAGCTCTGCACAGGTGCGCAGGAGGGGAGTGTGGTAGAAGGGTTGGTGTGCAGGAGGGGTGGTGTGGCAGGAGGGGTGGTGTGCAGGAGGGGATGGTATGTTGGGGTGGGTGGTGGTGTGGCGGGGTGGGGTGGGGTTGGGGGGGTGGTGGGTTGGTTTGAGGGTGCTTGGTGACATAGGTGGGGTGCTGGGTGGTACAATTAGAGTGAGGTGGGCGAGAGGAGCCATGGGGTATCACGGGTGATATGATGGTAGTGTGGTGGGTCGTGTAAGCCAGACACGGGCAAGTCTATGGAGGGCATCTCCCCTCCGCCTCACCCTCCCTCTCTCCTTCCCCATTCCCCTCCCCCTCCCATCCCGTCCCCCTCCTTCCCCCCCTCCTCCTCCCCTCTCCCCCTCCCCATCCCCTCCCCTCCCCCCTCCCCCTCCCACTCCACCTCCCCCTCCCCATCCCCCGCCCCCTCCCCCCTCCCCCTACCCCCCTAACCCTTTCCCCCCCCCTCCCCCTCCCCCTCCCCCTCGTTCTCCTACCCCCAACCCAACCCCTCCCATCTCCACTCCCAGCCATCTCCACCACCCCATGAGGAGAGGCGAAGGAGGAGCGGACAAGGGAAGGAGGAGCGGAGGAGGGAAAAAAGAGCGAAAGAGGAAAGAGGGCGGAGGAAAAGGTGGACTTACAGCAATACTCACCCTTCCCGCCTCTCCCTGTCCGCCCCTCCTGCCAGACGGTAAGTTATGCAGTGGAATGGGCGGTAAAGGACAGCTCGCATTTCAATTTCAAAGAACCCAGTTCCTTTCCTGCCTCCTCCTCTCCCTCCCTTCCCCCCCCCACCCAGGCGGCATGCTATACGATGGGATCAAGGCGGAGGGCAGCTTTTTGCATATGATTGAAAAAGGCATCTTCTCTGTCACTCCTCTCCTGCCTCTCCTCACCCCTTCTCAAAAACCCAGGCGGCATGCTATACGATGGGATCAAGGCAGAGGGCAGCTCTTAGAGCCTGGCATGAGTGCTGGTTTCTTGTGAGGCCGCGTGTGAGTGAAGCAGTGCAGTGCAAGCACAGGCAGGGCGTGGTGCAGGGAGCTACTAGGCAGTTCGGTCTCCCCACCGTGATACATCCTGCCTTGCTTCTTCCTACTCGCACTCATTACTTCCCCCACACGTGTCTTCCCAGGGCGGCACTTAGAGGAACTGGGAGCAGTGCGCCCTCCCCACATGCTGCCCTCCTCCCTCCGCCCTTAGGCTCACTTTTTCTCTCCCTCGTGTTTTCCCTCTCGGCCTATCCCAGGGCAGCGTTTCAAGGAGGTGGTGGGCAGTGCGTACTATGTGGCGCCAGAGATGCTCAGGAGGGAGGGACTATGGCAGTGTTGGAATGTGACGTGTGGAGTGTTGGAGTCATCACCAACATGCTGCTGTGCGGCACCCCACCATTTTGGGATGGTATGGAATTTGGTTGTGTGTGGTATGGTGGAATGCGGTGATATGGTGTGTTGGGAATGCATGGTGCCAGAGTGTGGCGTGTGGAGCGTTCGAGTGATCACCTACATGCTGCTGTGTGTGTGGAACCCCACCCTTCTGGGATGGTGGGTTGGGATGAGGCGGTTGTGTGTGGTGGAATGCGGTGAGTGAGGTGGTGTTGTGCAGGGTATGGTATGTGACAAGGCAGTTATGGCAGCGAGGGTGATGTGCGGAGCATTGGGGTTATCGCCTACCTGCTGCTGTGCAGCACCCCCGCCCTTCTGGGATGGTATGCCATGCTCTGGTGATGTGGTGCAACGCGGAGAAATGGTATCTTGAGCGGTAAGTGTCATGTGGAGCTTTGGTTGGCGTGATAACATGCGTGCTGCAGTGCAGCACCCCGCCCTGCTAGGATGGTGGGTTGCGTTGAGATGTGCATATGTACTACCGCGTATAAGAGGGATGAGAGACATACAATTGCTGCCCTGGGAGGTTCAGTTCACCCACTCGCAACGTACCAAACCATACCATGGCCTTTCGTCTCTTTAACTCATCCGCTTTTCCACCATCGAGTCGAGTGCCTCGATCGATACATCAAAGCGCCTCAACGCGGTTTGGAGATTCCTAGTGTCTGCACTGTACCGCAGTTGCACATGCACGGCCCCTCCTTTTGCCATCCCCACCTCCCTGGTTCCTTCTCCCCTCCTCCTCCACACGCACCTTCACTTTCATTCACCCCCACCAGTGCCAGAGGAGGGGATATGTGAGGTGGTGCTGAAGGGGGAGAGTACCAGATGAGCAGCGATGCAGCCCGGCGAATCACCAGCCAGGAGATTCTAGGTAGGCGGGTGTGTCTGGGCCAGCAGTTTGAGGGTACGAGATGAGATGAGCAGCCCATGCAAGTGCCTGGTAGGGCACATGCTGGACAGCAACGCGACGCTGCCCGACGAATCAGCACACAGGGATCCTTGGTTGGTGGGTGTGTGTCTTGCGGGGTAGTGCAATATTACCTGGGGGAAGTGGACAGCGCCACGCCACCTGGCCGACCATCTCCCAGCAAGCCAAGCACCTCGTGGGGCGCATGCTGGGGGGGATGCTTCCAGGCGAATAACCACACGGAGATCCTCAGTATGTGTGTTGTGGAAGAAGGAAGAGGGGGGGAGCAGGGGGGGAAAAGGGGGACAGGGAGTTGGTTCGAGAGGGGAGCACGCAACGGGTGTGCTTAAAAACCGGGGTGCACATTCAGCTGAATGTGCATCAAAGGTTATCCCTTGACTGAGTGGGTTACGAGTGTGCTTTCAACCCCTTCAAGTCGAAATTCGTTTCCCCACGCGCCCCCGCAATTTCATTTCCCCCTCCCCGTCGAAATTCGTTTCCCCCCCTCCCCCGCAATTTTGTTTCCCCCCTCCCCCGCAATTTCGTTTCCCCCCCCTCCCGCCAATCTGTTTCATCCCTCCGCCATTCGGTTTCACCCACTCCCGCCATTTCACCCCCTCCCGCCACCTACGAAATGCCCGAAGCTCTAGCGGAATCATTTTTTTGTCGCCCCTCGTGAGCCAATCACTGTTTTTCTCCAAACCCCCTCCCAACATCTCAAGCCGAACCGCGTTGAATGTGCACCCTGGTTTTAAGGGGGAGCTGGCTGGATGGTCGCTGCACCCCAACTCAAAACACATGAATCAGTGTGTTTTTATTTGGACTTTCCATTGAGTGTTTTCGCGTATGCATTCACACCCATACAAAACACACTCCCTCTGAATACACGTTCATGCACACTCACTCACTTTGACGCTCACAGGTTCATGCACACTCTCACTTTGACTCTCACACGTGCCACGCACCACAATCATTCTTCTCCGCACAGAGCATGAATGGGTGCGAGAGGGAGGAGCACCCGCGTGCCCTCTGCCTCTTTCTGTCATGAAGCGCCGTGCGCCAATTCTGCCAGATGAACCACCTCAAGCGACAAGCTCTTGCAGTAAGTGCCTTGTGAACCTGCAACCCTGCAAACCATAACACTGCAAACCCTTAACACTGCAACCTTCACACTGCAATCCTAACAGCCCTTTTTCTTCCCTCCTCCCTTCCCTACACCTTCCCCTCCCCCTTCCCCAATCCTCGACCAGGTGGTGGCGAGATCAGAACAGGCACAATGTGAGCCCCAACGATTTTAAGCCAGGAATGGCCCTCTGGTGCGCAAATACCATACCGTACTTGCCTCTGCTGGAAAGCAACATGTGTTCTTTCATATTATCTCATAGTTCATGCACTGATTGATGATTGCAAGGATCAACAAAGCATACACCAGATATGTAGAAATGCCCTGTTAGAAATCGTCCACAGCTACGGTATGCCAGATCAGAAACGAACAGACAGACCATCCTAGAAATACAAAAAAAAAAAAGCGTATTTCCCCTGAAAAAAA